TCAGTGGGGCTGCCAGCTGGGAGTTGCAGGGTGAGATGGCTGCTGGCTACGTGACCAGCAGCCAGCACTTCAGCAGATGGCTGAGGTGGCACCCTTCTATACTGTATGTAATGCGTTTTTGGAAGAAAACCACCATATACAGTACATGCAAGCCATCTTTACAATTTTATGCAACTTCGATGTATTTGATTTGCACTGTGTAGCACTGTTTTGTGTCACGATCGTAGACCCCTCCCCTTAAGGGTGCTCCAGCCCTTCCTTGTTTTTTACTTGACTCCCGCACCTGCTCCCTGTTCCAGCCCCCTTTTCAGTTCCCCTTAAAAGCCAGACTCTGACGCTATTCCGGGCTCTGCTCTGGTTTCCATACCAGGCGAGTCTGGGACCAGGCACTGCCTAAGGTTTTAGTTCCTGTTCCTGTTCCTGTTCCTGTTCCTGTTCCTGTTCCTGTTCCTGTGCCCGTCCGGACCCGGTTCTTGTTTTTATCTTGTCTGTGTTGGATGGATCGCCTGGCTTTGGACTTTTGCCCCGTTTTTGGACTCAGTTTTGGACTGTTTGCCTCGGCCACACCTCCCCCGAACACCAGCGCACCATGGACACGCCCCCCGTCTTCATTCCCGACTCCCGCATGCTGTTTTGATTCGTGTCTTTGTTTTCATTTTGCTTCCTGATCGTCATCTCCAAAGTTACCGTATAGAAGCAGGACAAGACTCTGTACACAAGAAGCCGAGTTCATGTCACGATTGTAGTCCCTCCCCCTTAAGAGCGCTCTGGTTCTTTCACTTTGTTCCAGCCTTCTATTCAACCCACCTTAAAAGCCAGACGCTCACTCTGTTCCAGGCTCTGCATTGGTTCCTGTACCAGGCGAGTGCAGGACCTGGAGCGCCTGGTCCCGTCAAGTTTTTAGTTGCTGTTCCTGTTCCTAATTCGCTTTGTCTTCGTCTCAGATGCACCGCCCGGCTCTGGGCTTTCGCCTTGTCTCGGATTTCCCTTTGGCCTCAGTTTTGGACTGTTTGCCTAGGCCACACCTCCCCCGAACACCAGCGCACCATGGACACGCCCCCTGTTTTCATTCCTGACCCCTGCATGCTTTTTTCCCTGTGTTTCCTCACTCTACCCCGGATTGTGTCGTCTGCATAGGGTCCGGAAAGAACACCTCCCTGACAATTTGCTTTGCAGTTTTTGTGTTTCTACCTGTGTTCCGTTTGCCCCTGGGAGTGCATCTGCAAAGCACACGAACAGTGAAATCCTTGTGGGCCGGCTGGCTGCTTTCCCTGCCCCCTCACTCTCTGTCTCTGTGCAGGAAGTCCACACCACCTGCCGGACATGGCCAGCTCTGTCAGTACCGCCGGTGGGCTGGTGATCTCCACCCAGGTGTATCCAGCCGGTCAGGCCCCTGTGCCCTCTCCTGGCCTGCAGGCTCAGTGGTTGCCAGCCCCCACTTCCCTCTCCCAGGATTCTGCAGAGCTGAAGAAGCACTTGCGAGGAGAGCCCAAGGCTCTGGGGGTGAGCCCTTTCAGCCATTTTCAGATTGGGTTTTACAGGCCTGTTCCTGTTCCTCATGCTAGGTGTCGCCTCTCATAACTGATTAAAGCCTCCCGTGTGGGAGCAGAAGTGCTTGTGAATGTGTTTACAATGTGATTGAAACCGCACTCATACTAGGCTCAGAGTGGCAGAAAGGCAGTCATCTGATTGAAGCCCCAAGGAATTGGCCAAGACAACCTACCACCCACCTGGGCAGTTAGGATTGCCATAACCCTCCCACGGGCTAAGCTCCGATGGTCTGACATAGTCAATAGCAATGGGACCACATTTGTTTTAGACTTCACATGAAAGTGAATGTGTTGAATTGATTTATTCATTTGGAATGCAATCCAGGAAGTACCTGGACCTGAGTGTCGTTTTCATGTGCAAGCAAGCAGAGAGAGGAATGTCAACACCCTTTACCATCTAATGGTGTTACTGCTTGCATTATGGCACTCAGACAAAAATGATGTCACATCCAGCATTCTGTCTAATCAGAATTTGTTACGTTGGTCCTAGCACAAGCACAAGAGCTGTATCTTTTATTTTATGCTGCCGGTATCGTATCAGGACAGCACGGTGACACTGGGGCACGGGGTTTAATGTCTGGGGCGCTGTTTGTGTGGAGTTTGTATGTTCTCCCTGTGCTCACATGGACATTCTCTGAGTGCTCAGCTATCCTCCCACAGTCCAAAGACCTGTTATTTCCATTTATATTGGAAAAGAGTTCATTTTGAGCTGAGCTGTGCCATTTTTATGATATCGTCTTTCCTTTTCCACAGACGGCCCAGATTATGATTGGCATTTTCAGTGTGCTCCTTGGCATCATACTGTCACACAATGACCCCGTTCTCGCAAGTGAGACTGGAATCGCTTACTGGGGAGGTTTGCTGGTGAGTTGAATTTCTAGTAGTCCATTAAAAGTCTGCTGTTGAAAGCAGAAACATCACCAGGTCACTGATAGTGGCTGGGGCAGGTTTCTCTGGAAGTGGTATCATAGCTTTAAAGTAGGCCTGTGACGTGGGGGCAGCTCTCAGGTGAGATCATATTGCTGGAGAGAGCACAGTGCAAAGCACAATTCCGCTGCACTGACAAACTTACAGTGTACTTTGCTGTACCTACTATTTCAGACTCTGTTCCCCACGTTTCATAACAGCTACTAAGAAGACCCCCCGAAACCTGACTGAGGCTACTAGTACATCATTTAAGTTTCACAGTCAGCAATGACTTGATAAAAATATATTGAGAGCACCTGACTGAACCACAGGAGCAGTGACAATCATGGGAAATGTGTTCATGATCAGCACTACAAGCTGCATACAAGGGACATACTATGTAGGACCCATTGTTATCCTATCCTATGGTCGGAACAAAATTCACACGTTTCTGCATTCCTGACTGTAGCAGTGAGCACTGACACTGCTCTCATTGCAACGTGGGATTAGCGAGATGCGAATACCCACTGTTTATCCTTTTCTTGTGAGCAAAACATTCTCCAAATATCAAAGCAGGACATGCATGCTACAGTACATTAAACCACACATGTTTTTTTAATAAAAAATAATAACGATCTACAAAATTGACTTTTCTCAACAGTACATTATTTCTGGGGCTCTCTGTGTCGCTGGAGAAAACACTCTCAGAATGTCTGTGGTGAGTGCTCATTTGTTATTCCTATTGAAAACCCAGTTGCTATACACTAGGACTGTCCAGTGGGTTAAGATTGTCCTGATATTCTGCTGAAATCTGGCCTGGATGGTTATCTGATTAGTCACCAATACACTTTCTGCACAGTGGCTGTTACTGCATTCAGTCCAACACATGGGGAAGCAGGAGAATTTAAGACAGACAGTGGCTCAACAAAGCAAAGGGAGGGTCTGATAACAGTGGGAGCACAATTGTCTCTCAGTGAACTGGCTTCACCAGCAAGAACTGTTAGTGACATTCTAGGAACTGAAGCATCAAAGACATTAAAAGCAAACTGTAAAGTCATATGCACATATTTGTACGAATGTGGCAAATCGCAATGAAGGGCTAATGACAGGTAGTATTTGGCTCTTGTGTTTTTCACTTTATATCACTTGAGTTCGAATGTCTATTACATCTCAGTTGACGTTCGCCAGTTCCTGTACTGCATATTTAGAATAAGGGATGGACCAACCCAGAAGCCATTCAGCTTTTAACCCACCGCAAGCTCAGCAGCGCCTTACAGGGGGGTTAATAATGGTAGGAAGAGAGGCAGTCTCTCAGTGATGTCACCACAAACCTATAGGCAGCTACTGTAGCAAGTTGCAGGAGTCGCTGTTTCACTGGAAGCTGAGACAAGCCTGGCCAATGAACACCAGCAAGCAATCGCTGTCAATGGCAATAGACCTGCAGTATCTGCATTGTGCTTTCCTGTACTTTACTGAGTGAACATTGGAGGGTTTTTTGTCTGCCAATGTATTTCCCCACTGACAAACGGCTCATACTGCTGTGTTAATAGTAAATTCCAGCAGCCAGAGTTGGAGGGTTTTGGCAGTAACACAGTTGACTTTCCTGTGTTATACAGGAAACAGTGGTCGACGATAGGGGTTCTGGGCTCTTGCCCAGAGATTAGTCTGTACACATCCTAGATCGTTACGCAGTTGTCATATTTTAAGGACAGGCCTTCTTCTCAGTTTGCTGCTGTAAGAGCCCTGCGTGTAAATGAACAAGCGCCCCCTTGCAAGAACAAGTGTGCTGAATTATATTTTCAAGACGCATGGGAATATTTGAATTAGATTTGACTTTGTATAACTAATACAGAACATATCCAATAATATTAATCCGGACAGTGTTTTAGTTGGCAATTTCCTCTTTGTCTATAAACAGATGGTGTGTGTGTGGAAATTCTGGAATGTTCCATTGTTCTCCTGATTATTTTTTTTTTCAAATGTTCTCTTTTTCAGATCAAGGCAGCAGTAGGAATGCATGTCATAAGCTTGGTTATTGCCATCGTTGCAACAGCAATTTATTCGTTGAGTTTTAAAGAGACAGAACCTTGTGTCCAAGAGGAATATCATCATTATTATTATTATCCTGAGTGCTATGATCACAGGAATGCTGTGGTACAGATTTCCATTTCTTTTTTATGAATACTATATTATAATAATATAAATATTGTATGAGTGTTCACAAATGCTCCTCAGGTAAAAATGTTGTCCTTTGTGTTCTTTCTGAAAATGTCCCTTTTCCTCAATTAATTATAGTTTTACAATTTGCATTTTTACCTATATGGAATTCATTTAGTTTTTACTCATTTGAATACATTGTACTCGATGTAAGTATGCTTACATTATACAAAAATGACTTGATGTGCATGTAAAAAGTAATAACAGGTATTAACTAGCTCCCTTCACGTTTTGTTCCATAACTAAGGATTGACCTCTTCTTATATTAGTGTAGTAGCACAGTATAGCTGCCAGTAATTTCAAAACACACTCACCCCTTGCTATGCAAACGCAATTGGTTCCAAAATTTCTGATTGTAGGCCAACATTTGTACAAGCAACACAGAATTCCCCATTAAAAAAACATGTAAAAGTCTCTGATTCCTTTCAAGTATTCATAACTGGACATCAACCAATTGAGTTTAGGTGCTTTTCTGATGCATTTAAATAGTTTGGCACCAGAAATTGCAAAGTACACATGCAATAAATAGAATTTACTAACACTGCAAACTGTTACGTTTAAATGTGATGCGAAGCAGTTATGTGTAGGAATAGAATTTGCCTGATCTCTGTAATACATGTGCACAATACCTCTTAAGGCTTTCATTGGAACACAGGTCAACCAAGTTACTGTCTTGCACGTGCAAGTGTGATTGATTTCAGACTTCAGGCGCTGACTGTGTAGTCGTGTACACCTCTTTGAAAAGATGCTCCTGACTCATCTGAGTGAGGTGACATAGCATCTACATAAAGAGTGTTCTCTTCTCAGATGGGGCAGTTTCACCATGTAATTGTGTCAATTTGGATCACTGTGAAGAGGATTGGGCATTCAGAAGGACCATTTCTTTGCACATTTCATGGGAAAAATATGTTTTGTGAGTGCAGTTAGTGTACAGGGAAACTAGAGAGAGGACTGTAGCAGATGGAAGCTTTCAGCATCTTGCAATAACCACATCATGACACTAATAATGCTTTTCACCTTTGGAAAAAATAATATGACCGACATAGCATACATGCAGCTCACTGTGAAAGAGAATTCCACTATACTGCTACCTGCATGGAGGATTTGGGATTTATCATCTTTCTTGTGCGATACAGTTCCTGTTGAAAATGTAGTGTAACTGAAAAAGTGGCTACAGTGCACACCAGTGTTAAAGTTCAATATGTACTGTTTTCCTTCCTGTAGCTCTTGCAAAATGGCACAAGTGGGGCCCTGATTTTTTTTACTGTCCTGGAGATTTGCATTGCTGCTTCCATGCTGGCCTTTGGGCTGAAAGATGCGTGCTTCAGAAGTTCAATGGTGAGGAACAGTTATTTATTATTGATACTGCCAGTTGATGGAGCCCCTGCGGTCAGACAAGGTTTGAAGTTGGGCATGCATCTGGACCTCTGGTGTCGGTCCAGAAGAGTGCTACGCTCACCACTTAAAAAATTTACCCCTCACTGCTTGGAGTACAGTATAAATACTCTTGAAAGCACTGGCAAGTGATGTAACCATGCTTATCAATATTTAATATACATTATAATGGCTTTTCCTTGATCTCTTATGTCTTGTATTATTTATGCCTTACTATGATAGACCATCACACAGTATGCCTTAATTTATTGGTTTTATAGGAAACCAAAGATAATATAAGGTCAAAACCACTGTAAAACTTCAAAACTATTTGATAAATTCAGCGTGGGGAGCTCTTCTATAGGACATGACTGTCTCATATTACCCAGTGAGACCCTGTTAGACTTCTAAACTTGAATACCCACCTTGTGCCTTTAAATCCTGCAGTCTGCTTCCCAGAAAGTGTATGGTCAGGGCTGTTTCTGACAGAGCCCTCCCTCCTCAGTCTGTGTATGGTCAGGGCTGTTTCTCTGACAGAGCCCTCCTCTGCAGTCTGTGTATGGTCAGGGCTGTTTCTCTGACAGAGCACTCCTCTGCAGTCTGTGTATGGTCAGGGCTGTTTCTCTGACAGAGCCCTCATCTGCAGTCTGTGTATGGTCAGGGCTGTTTCTCTGACAGAGCCCTCATCTGCAGTCTGTGTATGGTCAGGGCTGTTTCTCTGACAGAGCCCTCCCCCCGCAGTCTGTGTATGGTCAGGGCTGTTTCTCTGACAGAGCCCTCCTCTGCAGTCTGTGTATGGTCAGGGCTGTTTCTCTGACAGAGCCCTCCCTCCGCAGTCTGTTCTCTGCATAAAGATACTTTTTTCTGCTGTGTGGAAGGGGAGTTTGTTTTCTTGTTGTAAACTTGGGCAATAAGCACTTACAGTATGTCAATAACTTGTCAGGTGCTTCCAGGCCTCTGCTCAGAATATAGGTTGAGTCGCTACCTGACCGTGAGAGAGACGCCCCCAAGGGGGGAGACAATGCCTTTGCACTGCTGGTGTCTCGTGGTTATTAGACATCCAGTGCTGTCTTGCCTTTCTTTACAACAGTGACCCCTACAATCTGCCATGAGCTTAGCAAGGGAAGAACTGCTCCTCCGGTTGGCACATTGTCCTGTTCGCCAAACACTGTCCGCTTCCCAGCATGGCCGCTGGGCAGGCATGCTGGAGGAGCATTCCCATCGCCCCTCGGTTCCTCTGTGCTGCACAGTGGTGATTCCGGGCTGGGCGAGGAGAATGTCAAACAGGAACGGGCAATTCTTCCAAATTGAAAGAGGAGTTTGGTAACTGCTGGGAAAAATCATGATCTCCCACTGTTGGCCACTCCAGTGGTGCAACCAGTGGCGCTGGCAGAAGCGCTTTGAGCACGTCTGTATGAGGGAAATGGATGCGGTCGAGTTGCAGGGATTCTAGATTCGTTGGGAGGAGAGCAGAGGTCCAGGGACAGTGTGGGAAGCGCCTCTCGAACCCGTGATCGCCATCTCTGTGTCCTTCTGCACTGCAATGTCCCTCACGGGATCAATAAAGTATCTATCTTCTTCCACAGCCTTCAGTTGTACTGCAGCAGCCATTGCCATCAGGGACGCCTGCCCGTTCCTCGGACTACTGCCCCCTTGTGGACGATGAAACCGGCATTGCCAGTAGCCACACTATGTAGCTCCTCCAGTGTCCAAACCGCTGAGCAGTAGTAGCACAGGGCCTTGCTGAGCTGCAGGTGTTCAAAGCTCTAATGTGCCAGCCATTACTAACCCTCTTGCTTAGTGCTGATATTGTCAAGGGCTCCCTGTCTCTGTTGGATGATACTGAGATGGAGTGGTCTTGGGAGGGATTGAAAAGTAGATGCACTCTCTGTTTCAGAAATGTTATCTGCTTCTTAGACTTTTCCTCCTGGGGGCCCCATTTGGGACATACAGTAAACTGTGAAGAATTTAGCAATTTACCCTGTTTTTGTGCCTCAGGTCTTTCAATTTCCCTCCTGCTATTCTCCTAAGAAGCTCTGTGTTCAATCCCTCTGCCACTGAATGCAACAGTTCCTGTCTGACTGCTTCCCATTGTTAGCCATTAATACTACACAGTCATTTGTTTTGCACTATGTATCATACTTTGACTAGCTACTGTATATACATCCTGTGTTTATCAACATGCTCCCATTATTAAGGCCTGCCATGGGATTCCTGACATTTTAGTAAAAGGGTCTGTTTTTCCAGTTTTTCTGAAAACAAAACAGTTCCCAAGCTCCCTGGAATGTCCATCTGTAAAAATGCAGAGACGTGAAGAAACAGCAGGAACATCACAAACGCTGATGTCTGTGTTTCAGCTTAGGGAAGTATTTTATCCTGAATCTTCTGCTCTGCTGTCTTTCACATGCAGACTGCTGTTCCTGTACTATCTTTCTGTGGTTCTGTAATTAACTATGTGCTTTGTGGATTTATAATATATTGTATTCTTATAATTGAAAAATTTACAAGTTGCCAAGGATGAAGGTATCAGCTAAGTTACAGTTGTTCTTAGACGTTCTGGTTCAGATAAATATCAGGTAGCTTCTGCCCACAGCATGACAATGACCCCGAGCAAGCCAGTGCAGCTGATGAGCTCATGAAGTCCAACTCAGTCCGTAGTTTACGTGCTGAAGAAAGATCTGGGACAGAACCCCAAGAACTTCCAACAGCTCAAGTGGCAGCAACAGAAAATCTCAAACGATCCTACCGATAGATTCAAACCTCATGAGCACAAATAGAGATTGCTCGACAATAAAAGAAAAGTTATTCTGACTTTGCGCTCTCACTAAATTTGGAGGGCACTGTATACGAAAGGTGTATTAACGTATAACTCAGAAAATAATAAACACACATTCAAATTCCACTGTCTCTTTGGAATTGTTTTATAAACTTGATTAAAAAAAAACAGATTTTTGTTTGTGCATCCGTTTTGACAGGATCAGATGTAAAATCATTTTTGGTTATCAAATGTGTTTGAAAGTGCATAGAGAAGTTGCATCTCTGCAATGTTACTGAGTAAGTGAGGACTGTTGTACCTAAAGTTTCTGAATGGCCAGAATGATCGGAGTGATTATTTTTTTATTACGATTATTACTTTTATTTCTTAACAGGCAGTTCAGGGATGCATGCCTCCACTGGCCTGGATCTTTCCTTTGGGATTTCTCATCCAGCTTGGGAAAACTCCGAAATGTTTTTTCCTAATTGGTTTGTTACTATTTATACTCTTTTTTTTGTCTGGTTAGTAACAAATCTGTCTGTCCTAGCTGGGTTTTAAATTCCCTGGTCTCTTGGTTCCCTAGTTTTCCTGTAGAGGCAAACAGAAGCTTTGATGATCAGAAAGCTGTGCCACTCCCTTCTATATCGTGAGAGGCAAGGCAGTCACCGTCACCTGCCTCATCACATAGCAGTTCAGCTAGCAATGCAACAGCTAGCAAAGCAACGCAACATCTCCTGCTCCACACTCTGGCCCTCCTGTCTGCGTGGAACAGGCGGAAGAGTGACTCGTCTGTGAAGAGGACCTGATGCCACTGCTGACGAGTCCATCGCAGCCTCTGTCTGGCCCAAGCCAGTCGGGTGTGACGTCTAGGAGGTGTGAGCAGAGGGCCTCTGATAGATCCCCTTGCTCTAGGGCCAGCAGCATGGAGCCTCACTGTCCTGTCACTGATGCGGGCATTGTGTCTGCTGGCAGTTTCAGCAGCAGTACGGGTGGCAGATCTGAAACGATCTCTCAGATGGACCAGTCTGATGTGTCTGTCCTGCTCTGGTGTGGTCACTCGAGGGTGACCGGATCTTGGACGGTCATCTGTCCCGCCGGTCTGCCGAAACCTTCTCTGCTGTCGGGACACAGTGGAACAGCTTACTCCATAGTGTCTGGCAACACTGGCACATGACATGCCTGCCTGCAGCATGCCGATGGCCCTCTCCTTTGCCTCTGGTGACATTCGAGGCATTATGGACTGCACAGCAAACTGACTAAGTGTGGCCTTTTTCTTGCATTGACCTAAGCTTTGAATTAAGGCCTTTTTAAAGGTGACCTGATCAGGCATTGTTCCACCTGGACCTCGTTGGGTAAAAGTGCACCTAACGAGCTTTCGTGTGATTGGCAAGTTGCAGTGCCTCACTGCACAAGCTGTATTGCTGGTCAGGGGGCTTAAAACACATTGACAACTTTTTGTGAAAGTACATAAGCTAAAACTATAGTATTCTCATTCCAGAAAATGTTGCGTTTCTTTTTTCCATCAGTAAATATTCTCTCTATTACTCTGCCTCACATTCTGTCACAGGTAACTCAAACATGAGCTGTAGCACACCATCGCAGTATTTCAAAAGCTTCAAAGTAAAGCTGTTTAGAGATCACTGTTGTACTTGGTGTCTGATTTTTTCCCAAGGTGGCGAGCAGTTTCCATGATAACTCCTAAATAAAAATATCCAACGGTTGTGGTAACAAGAGTACAGAAAGTTTTAAATTGAAAAACAAAATGAAAAATTAACTTAATCTGATGCTGCAATTAGTCTCAAATTTTAATTTCACTGTTTCTCTAGTTCATTCCCAGCATTTCCCCTCCATCTCTCCTGTCCATGCTGGAGGAAGGGGCAGCAGCTGAAACTTTGTGTCTTTTGCTAATTTATTTCAACTTTCCGCGTGTGCATAGCCTTTACTGTCACGGAAGCCGGGGGCCAGCCATGGAGAGAGACCGGTGAGGCAGTAGGACCCCATGCGTAGCAATGGAGCGAACGAGAGGGTTCATCCGGGCTCAAGGTATCGGGTGGAGTCGGGGTGAGACATAATGTAACAAAACGTTCTTTCGGGACCCTATGCAGACGACACAATCCGGGGATGAGTGAGGACAACACAGGGGGAAAAGCATGCGGGAGTCGGGAATGAAAACGGGGCGTGTCCATAGTGCTTCCAGGGAGCAGGACCACAAAAAAAACAGACAGAACATGTAACAAAGCACACACAGCTTCTACAACTCCTGTGTTGGCTTGTGTTTATGTTTCCTGACACCTCTTTAGCTTGTTAAAATATGGATTTTCCTCTACTGTATGCAAGCCTGGGAAAAACAGGAAGCATGCAGATTGTTCTTAACCGGATTTGTCCGAGATGGTGGCTATTTTGTTGGAATGCCACCGCTGGAGAATAACAGGAATATACCAAGGGCTACAGACACTTCAGTTCTCTTGTTTTCTGTTTTCTGTTGATATAACTGCCAAAGAACACACTGTACCCCTATACTTTAACCTAGTCCTACTGAATTTGCAGTGTCCTGATTAACTAATCACTCTCTATGGTTAACCCTCCCCAAATTATAAGTCAGAAATAGAGATTTTATTAATAAAAGGAATGAGCAGCTATGAAATACTGTGCTGCGTCAGAGCATCCTGAAGATCAGTGGCTGGATGGTCACAGGTGTCATTTCAAGAATGAAATATAAAATATATGGTTTTGGCTTAATTTTATTCTCTGCTGCTGCTGTCAGTAATCTTATGGGCTGTCTAATGAATAAATAGCTATCAAGGCCTTTCGGTAATTGTTAGGAGCTTGCAAATGGGTGTTCATTGTAACCCTAACAATCTGATATGTGCTTTACAACCTGCAACGTTTAAGGATCATAAACCAATTTTAAATAATTGCAGATTCCATTAGTTGAACAGATGCCTGTTATAAGCAGAGTGAAATCACGGTAATCTAGCCCCCAACTCTTTGGTTAATGAGAAGAGTCTAGAGCAGGTTTCTCCAGTCCATTGAGGTAGTAAGTGGGAGCTAATGGAAGTGTGATTTGGTGTAATTAAAGTTGTAATCAAAGGGCTGCCCACAGCCTTTGGTCTCCAGGGAAAATGAGAACATTCCCATGAGAAGACACATTCCACTGGGCCAGATTCACCGACTCCCTTCAACCAATTAACCCCTCTAATTCAACATTGATATGTGACTGGTGTGGTGCTCTGTCATTGAGTCACTTCAGCAGTACTGACCTCTCTCTCTCCCGGATTCCACCTGAATTCCAGGTCTGTCCTCAAACCTGGTGTGCCTACCAGTATGTCTCCCACCCTGAACCGGACCAGTGGTTCTGAGATTTCCAGCAGTTGGCCAGGCAGCAGTGCAGTCTGCCTGTCTGTTCCTGCCCTGAAGACTGTGCTCTATCGGACCAGTCCTGTTCACAACCGCCATGTCCCTTCACCCTCTCCGTCACCCTCTGTCCTGCCTTGGACACCTCCAGTAGCCTCTGAGCTCCTGCCCTTTGGCTCTCTCCACCAGAAACTCTGGAGAGCTGGAGCACTTTTCAGCTAGGTATGGCTGTGAGTTCCAGCAACAGTTTCAGAACAATGTTTAACATGCAGTATCAATGTATGTTAATAAATAACTAACACATGACTTCTTAAATAGAGCAGTGCTCATTCTTAATAAGAACCGACCTGTACACTGTAGAATCTTATAATATCTACGTTTTTCACTATATAATAATAAACTTAATAATGTGGATTTATATTTTTATTGCTTCTGTTTGTTGTCTAGTTGAGAGTATTGGACAATGTGTGTGAATATTTTATGAACATTATATCTATAGAGTGAATGATATTATGAAATAAATAAGGAATATATTACAGGAGGTACTGAAAGACTTCTGCTATGCAGTGCTAATTTGGTTCAATCAGCCATTTGAGCTACAGTTGATTATGAACAGCATAACCTATCAATAACATTAGGACATGTCCTGTGCTAGCGAAACCTTACTGGAAATACAGACAGATGCTCAAACCAGGAGCCTGAATATAGTTTCATCACCCAGGCCAAAACATTTATATTACAACCTTACGCAATGCCCTGCCAGATGCAAAAGAACTTCCTGAGATCAGAGATTAGTGACAGTGGCCTGGCTGAACCACTGCTGTTGTGCAAGCATACTGGCGTCACTCAGTCTCTCCCAGAGAAGCCTCTGCCTGACTCTCCAGATTCCACAGCAGGAGTGGGTTGCTACAGTCATGCAGCACAGGTATTGTTGACTGTCTGCTGCACGGTGTGGATTCTCACAGCTGTCCTGTCTTGAGCAAGAGCCAGACACACCAAGTACTGAACCCAGTCATCTACACTGGAAGTGC